GGTTCTGATGATATAACTGTATTTCGCGCACAAGTTATTTCTACAAATCAAAGTCTGGGCGAAGTAGTAGCTTCATGGGAAGAACCCAAAGAGCCTAATGGTCTAATATATATGTACCAAATAGAGTATAACCGAGTGGATTTAATTGATGTAAGACATAATGTATTTATTGTCGCAATAATTTAAAAATGAAATTGATTCTTATGTATGTTTTTGTCCAAATATTTTTTTTTATAAAAACAATGCAGAGCATACTGATTTTCATGTTATGAAACCACCTTAGCATAAAATTAAAGTATTTTATAATTTTGCATGCATGCAAATATTATTATATAAAGTGCTTAATTTTTTTTACTTATATTTTGAGTGAAAATTTTGATGAGCATGCATAATGACTAACTGAGCATAATAGTACCATGTTTTTGTATTGCTTACAAATTTTGGCTATTGTAACTTTGAAAATTGTACTATAATGACAGCATTTTACTAATATCTTTTACAAATGGTTATTCAAAATTATTTTTACAATTATTTTTATAATTGCAAATATACCTGTTATTCATTTGACTTGACTTACTTGTTAATGTTTTCTTTTTATAATATATTCATACCTAATCATTTATGCCATTCATTTATATAAATATATCTAAGCACTTTTTAATCTTTTAAGGCAAAACCTGTTCCAATATGCGTGACACAGCAAGATTTTATAGACAGGAATCGTATGTATGCAATTAAGAATTTAACTCCAGGAAATTATAGCATTCGTGTAATGGCCGTCTCAAAAGCTGGAAATGGAAAATATTCCGAAATGAAATACTTTTTGATAATGGTAACAGTCTTTATATTTTCTTTACTAACATTATTAAAATGAAAGTAAATAAAAGACGTATATAAAAATTTGTGAATATATTACATATTAATATTCAAAATTAACGAGATTTTTTTGTTGTTTTAAATAGAGTAATTAAATAAAGCAGAGTTATGAAACATGAATGGTTCACAAAAATTACAGATTATTTTAGCAAGAGTAACTTACAATTACAATTTACTTCGAGCGTAAAATATTCAATTACTTTATTTAAAACAAAAAATTACTCTGTTCAAGACAAGTTAACGTATAAATGGTAGTGCTGAATTATGTGCTTTGTGTACATCTACTGATGTAAGACACCATAAATGTAGTCACTGATGATGATGAAAATTTAATATCAAAGTGTTTGGAAAGATTAAGAACTAATTTTCAGAAGTTTCTTTCATTTATTGTATTGCCCGAGGATAGACCATAAATAGTAATGCAAAATCACGCTGTCATCAAATTAATATAAAATTTGTTAAAATTATTTTGAAGTTAAAATGAACATTATTCGACATAATGAAACATGTTTTTTTTGTAGGAACCATCTACTGGCCTAACTTCTGGCGAAATTGTTGGATATACTTTTCTTGCACTACTTCTTTCATTTATATTATCCATTTTGGCATATTTTGTGCACAGAAAGTATTTTTCTCCGCCTAGCATTAAGTTAATCACTTCTGTTAATCCTGAATATGTCAGTATGCAGTACCAACCTGATGAATGGGAAGTTCCCCGAGAGAAAATAAAATTGATAAGGGAATTGGGTCAAGGCTCTTTTGGAATGGTATATTAATATACTATACTATAATATATATAATAATAATAATAATATCAATAATAAATCGTAGTCTGCACGTCCTTGGTATGAGAACACCGCAAATCAATGATTTCCTTCCTCTCCCTTATTTGTAATTATTATTACCATTTTATTACTATTAAATATTGACCATGCATTACTTTTTATTCATTTTTATGCATTTTTCTTTCCAAACTTCTATTTGCATGCTTCCTGGTCTTCTATATTTTCTATAACAATTTTATATATATATATATATATATATATATATATATTTATATATATATATTTTGTATGATTCTGAATTTGATATTGACATATGTATTAACAAAGTCTAATAATCGGGCATAACATCAATAAAAAACATGAATTTCTTTCAAAAATTTATTTTAATCCATACGTTTCGGCTATAATCCTTACATTTCGGCCTTCATTCAGTGGAAACTAAAAATAAAATTAAAAACTAAAACAATTGAATTAGAGTGAAAAGAAAAAATAAAATAGTAAATAGTACTTACAATTAGTTGATCTTAGTGTTAAATTGGAAAATTTTAATAATCCATGGTATCAGGATATGTAATGCACTACACTATGTGTTATGAACATTATCTTGAAATTACACATAATTTTCACAAAATACTAATTTTAAAAAATCACAAATGATAGTGTGTTATTCGTAGACTGGTTGAAGATGTAATGGAGAAATACATTTTAAAAAAATTGCGAATTCTTTCAATGTTTTTTATTGATGTTATGCCCAATTATTAGACTTTGTTATATAATAATAAATATATATATATATATATATATATATATATATATATATATTGGGCGGTCTTAAAATGGTCATTTCGAATTTCCTTGCTCCCAGGGGCTCAAATGGTTCAAATAGATAAAAACAATTCTCTGAAAGTTTTAGCTCTTAATATAACGTTTAGATAGAGCGCAATTCATCAAAGTTTTTATGGAAATAGCATGGAAACATTTTCAAAAAATTTAAAAAAAGTTTTTTAGATGTAATTTAGCGAACAAATGAATGAATAAAACTCATTCATTTGTCGCTAAGTTATACCTAAAACATTTTTTTAAAATTTCAATTTTTTTCCAGCTCTTCCCATATAAACTTTGATTGAATTGCGCTCTATCTAAACGTAATATTAAGAGCTTAAACTTTCAGAGATTGTTTTTTATTGATTTGGAACCATTTGAGCCCCTGGGAGCAGGAAATTCGAAAATGACCATTTAAGGACCACCCAATATATATTAATTATATATATATATATATATATGGAGGTGTAGTCCATATGTTATACCAAAATGATCCAATATGTAGTCATAATAAATTCCAGGATATATTAAGTTTTATATTTGGTTTATTTTACGTAAGATTAATTATATATATATATATATATATATATATATATATATATATAGCTAGCTGGCTCGGCAAACGTTGTTCAGCACTAAAGAAAAATTCTAAAAAATCTTTTGTATAAAAAATAACTAACTGGTTATGAATGTAGAAGTATGTATAAATTAAATGGATGGTTTACCTATTGCAGTGCAATTGCCATATGCTTGCTTGCATAATCTAGATCTGATATCATTTAAATTGAATTGGCACATTTTGATATTCAAGTTTTTTAAATATTACTGTCGGTGCCCAATCACTCGTTGCTGTGTTCTGCATATAAATACAAATCATATCATTATGAACATTATTATCTCAATGTTTCATTCACATAGCGCAATCAGGATTAAATCAATATTATGTTGACTTTATCTTATTTTATTTATGTCTGACGTATATATTTTATATAGGTGTACGAGGGTATAGCTTGCGATTTAGTACAAGGCAACAGTGAAATCAAATGTGCGATTAAAACTGTGAATGAGCACGCCACGGATCGCGAGCGCATTGAGTTTTTGAACGAGGCATCTGTTATGAAAGCGTTCGATACTGCCCATGTGGTACGCCTGCTTGGAGTTGTTTCCCGTGGTCAGCCTACTTTAGTGGTTATGGAATTGATGGCCAATGGTGATCTCAAAAGCTATCTTCGCTCTCATCGTCCAGATAGTGATGTGTATGATCCGGAGATTTGCGTACAACCACCAACGCTTAAGAGAATTTTACAGGTGATTTATAAACATTTACCAATTCAAGGCATGATGATGTAAAATATTGGATACTGAATAATAATCAGTATCCAGTGATATAATCAAAATAATCAGTGATTATATTTAGTATAAATATATTATAACATCTTGTGTCTTTAACTGCTTTTATATGATTTTTATTGCTATCCCTCGAGAAAAAACGTCGAGAAAATATAAAATACCCATGGTTATTTTATTCGAAACATTCTCGTTCAGTATGTTTTTTGATTGTACGGTACTGTAAATTCTATATAAAATCAGATTTTTAATAATAAAAAAATGTAAAAATCTCTTATTTATTATGGAAGCCTAAGTTGAGTCAATGGAAAACTTAAAATTTATGGCCAAAATGTAAAAACTGTATTTGAAAACTTAAAATAGTTTGAAGTGCTTAACTAAGGTCTAAGAATTTTCATTATTTGTTTAGAGCCGAAAAATTTGGTTGCAAAAAGAGAAATAATAAAATATCTGTGAATAACTATAATTTGACGTTCATATGTCCACTATTTTACATCTATTATTAACTATATTTACAACTTCCTAGGACATTCAGTAAATTCAATGGATCGAACTATAACATCTAATTAACTATCATTTAACTCTAATTAATTTTTATGATAATTTTTTTCTCGATGCAAGGATTGTTCACTACCTCTAACTAAATAATACCCATTTTTGCATAAATAAACGGATTTTAAAAGAAAATGCAAATATATGTTTTATGAAATGACTTATTTTGATTTTGCCGTTTGAAATTTTGAAACAATGTTTGAAAAACGTTCACGAGATTCATGGACGGTTATTTATATATTTGATTGTTTGTTTATAGTGATAGTGATAATTAATAAAATAGTAATTTATAAAATAGGCGAATGTTTCAAGTTTTATATTTTGTCAAAATGTTTCACTATTATTGATGATCGCGAATTTAGAAAAGATAAATATAGAACATAGTAAAATTAAAGCCAGGGAAAGATTTTCACGAGGGCATTCATTAAAGAGTTGTAATTCATTAATGAATTGAAGTAGAAAGTAGTCTACTGAAATGTAGAGGAAAAGTGCATGTGTTAATTGAGTTTTCTATACTATTTTTATTGAGTTGTATAAAATATTTCTATATGTTATATTTATCTGTTCGTATTACAGATGGCTATTGAAATAGCTGATGGAATGGCATATCTTTCAGCAAAAAAATTTGTGCATCGAGATTTAGCAGCTAGGAATTGCATGGTTTCAGAAAACCTAACTGTAAAGATTGGAGATTTTGGTATGACGCGAGATATTTATGAAACAGATTATTATAGGAAGGGTACCAAAGGTCTTCTGCCTGTTCGCTGGATGGCACCTGAATCATTAAAAGATGGTGTAAGTTGTTTTATTTTTTATGAATTTTTTTTTCGAATCAAAATGTTTCACTTTTTTGCTATTTATAAAGATACGGCTAGACCGATCGTCTGATAAACAATAGTCCTCATCGAGATACATCAAATGGCTTTTAAATTTTTGAAATCGGTCGAGTCGCTTTTGAGAAAACATCGATTTACGACAAACAGTCTGTTCACATGCACGCACACACACACACATAAACACATACACATACTTTTCTCAAATTTGATTTCATTCGATTCAGAATGGCTTGAAACGTGAAAAACATAAAATTAGCAAATCGGATTTTTTTATGAAAACATAAACTTCTCCTTCGGGAAGCTTATAAATCTGTCACCCAATGAGCAGTCTACAAAACTTCTCCAGTTGTGTAAAAAACGTTACCATTAAATTAAATGAATGATTAAATAATATAAAACTACGTACATGATATACGTAGTCGTGTCAGTATTTTCTTATAGCAGATGCTTATTATTTCGTAAAATAATGTATTAAGTTTCTTAAAAGAATGTTTTGATGTTTTAAACGAAATTGAACATAGCAATAAATTCATGCTCAGAACTGACTTACAAAAATTTGCTGAATTATATAAAGTCATTGAAATTAGTAATAATGGATGCTTTTAAAATGTACAAGCATGGGTCTACGCATTATAATTACACATTATTTAAATGTGTTTGAAATTGTGAATCCAATTGAAAATCGCAATGTTTAGGTTTAAGTGAAAACGAAAACATGATTTTCGAAATAAATAGTTGAAAATTTTATCTGAATACCTAGATCCCAATTTCTGTTGATTAAGTCAATTATTACTTCTATCGGGAAGTTTTTGCAACTTGCCTTAAGACAAAATGCCAATTTCATAGTTAGTATTTCTTTTTAATATATATGTATATATATAAATATATATATATATATATTATATATATACATATATATATATATGTACAGTACAGGCCAAAAATTTCCGGACACATGAAAAAAATCTCATTTTCTGAGTTTTTAGCTATATTTTTCATATAAAAATAATTTTATCCAAGTTAGCTTTGTACATTCTACGTAGTATTAATATTTAGTGACTGATTTCCAATTTGTAAGAAATGATAGACTAATTAACAATGAAAATGTTAAAATGTCACTGCAGTCGATTTTCCTGAATATGACCACCCTTTGCTTTGATCACTGCAGCGCATATTTTTGGTAATCTTTCGACGAGTTTCTGCAATGTTTGCGCAGGTATGTTCTTCCAGGACTCGTTAAGGCAATTCCACCTTAATGCCATCAAAAAACTACTTCTGCGAGCAGTAAATAAACAAAAGAGATTGCAATTTGCCAAAACCCACTTAAATTGGACCATCGATCAATGGAAATCAGTGTTATGGACGGATGAGTCAAAATTCGAACTTTTCGGAAATCATCGACGTCAGTATTTGTCGTAGGAAGGGTAATGAAAGATTCAATTCTAAGTGTATTTCGCCGAAAGTGAAGCACGGTGGTGATTCAGTGATGGCTTGGGGTTGTTTTGGATTCAATGGAGTCGGATCGCTTGTCAAAATAGATGGAACTTTAAAGAAAGAACAGTATCATAGCATACTTCAGCGCCACGCCATTCCATCTGGTCTTAATTTAATTGGTCCAAAATTTATTTTTCAACAAGATAATGACCCTAAACACACTTCCCGACTCTGTGCCAATTATTTGAAGCGAAAACAAGACGAAAAAATACTTCAAATAATGGATCTTAATCCAATAGAACTGTTGTGGGACGAGCTTAAACGCCGTATGAAGAATTTGCATCCAAGCAGCCTCCCTGCCCTGTGGAATTGCCTTAACGAGTCCTGGAAGAACATACCTGCGCAAACATTGCAGAAACTCGTCGAAAGATTACCAAAAATATGCGCTGCAGTGATCAAAACAAAGGGTGGTCATATTCAGCAAAATCGACTGCAGTGACATTTTAACATTTTTCATTACTAATTAGTCTATTATTTCTCACAAATTGGTTACAAATCAGTCACTAAATATTAATACTACGTAGAATGTACAAAACCAACTTGAATAAAATTATTTTTATATGAAAAATATAGCTAAAAACTCAGAAAATGAGATTTTTTTCATGTGTCTGGAAACTTTTGGCCTGTACTGTACATATTAGTTTTTTTTCTTAACAATTACTATTTTAATGTACACCTAAGTCTGTTTTTACACGGTCTTTTTGTACACGGTTTTGATATAACACTGTTTGAAAATTGAATATTTTTAATTTTTTTACACGATTATATTCCATTTAGCACAATTTGAAATTTTATGTACCTAAATTTTGTTTGTCAAATTTAATTTTTGCGAAGTATGTTCATATCACAAAAAAGTATTTATGAAAGAAAAAAGTCTGAAACCATCGATAGTATCGATAGTTTGCGAACACTAGCTTAAAGATTTAAGTGAATTCCCCTTTAGCGCGTACAAACAATTTTTACTGGTCAAAGCAAATGTGAATAGCACTAATTTAGGGAAATTCCCTTTATGTGCATACAATAAAATTTACCGGTCAGAGCAATTGAAACGTGTTAATATTTTGTGAACTGTCAATGCAATAAGACGTGTTTGGTAAAGAAATTTTTTGCAGGCAAATTTGATTTACCATTAAATTTAATTTTAACGCATTAAGATACAAGGTAAGCCAAAAAATATTTTGTATTTATTCAGTTATTTATGTTTTCTAATTTTGTTAAATATTTTATGTATCCCTAAAAGGAAATGTCAGATATAAAACTAAAACGGAAGGCAATTTCTTTGGAAACCAAGATTAAAATTTTAGATCGCCTTCGAAATGGAGAAGGCTCAACTGCTCTTGGTAAAACGTTCGGTTTAAATGAAGCCACAATAAGAACTATAAAGAAAAATTAAATTGCAATTCACCATCCAAAACCAAAAATCACCCATTTTTGTATAAGATCAATGTCTTTTTTTACACGGCTTCTTCTGGAACCAATCTACTGTGTAAAAACAGACTTATAGGTGTACTGTATTTTACTGTTATATTTCTTTTTAATATATATGTTATATATATATATATATATATATATATTAGTTTTTTCTTAACAATTACTATATTTTACTGTAATATACTATAGCATTTTAAAAATTTAGGTTTTCACAAGCAGTTCCGATGTTTGGAGCTATGGTGTTGTGTTGTGGGAAATGGCTACATTAGCTTCTCAACCATATCAGGTAGGATTTTGTGTGATTTATTTTGTATTTTGTTTTGTTTGATTTATTCATTAATTTATGGAATAATGTACTTGTGCATTAATTGACACTATTGAAACATACTTTAAATATTTTAAGTACAAGAAAAAAATATTTACAATTATTTATTTCACGTTTTGACACTTCATGTTTTTGCGATCATTCAGAAAATCATTCGCTGATTATGATAGATAATTAATTAATCGAAAAAAAAATGCAAAATTTTTATTTTGTAATTGTTTATATGTTTCGGTGCTTACTGTGAAATTTTAATTAAGAAAAATCTATATTTTGTATTTTGTTTTACTTGGTCTGGTAAGTTAAATGATGTAACATAGTGTTGAAACTCTTAAATAAAGAAGTTCAAATATTATTCAATCTTTTTAATTCGTAGAATTGGCTATCAAATATGTTTCATCGTCGAAACAACAGAAAATATATAGATTAATTAAAAAAAAACTTTTGCTTGTGTAAACAGTGTGCAAAAAAAGTTTTTACAAAAAGGGTTCTATTTATTCATATTTCTAAATTTATATATATATATATATATATATATATATATATATATGTATATATCTTGAGGATTTTTTGTTCGACGTTGAAACATATTGAAATGAATAAAACAGCCAATGCGTCGAATGTAAAGAATTTATTTTAATTTTTTATACGTTTCGAGACTAGATGTGTCTCATCATTCAGCTAAAAGAAATTTACATTATAAAGAAAAAGTTATATATATATATATATATATATATATATATATATATATATACACAGTACAGGCCAAAAGTTTCCGGACACTTGAAAAAAATCTCATTTTCTGAGTTTTTAGCTATATTTTTCATATAAAAATAATTTTATTCAAGTTGGTTTTGTACATTCTACGTAGTATTAATATTTAGTGACTGATTTGTAACCAATTTGTGAGAAATAATAGACTAATTCGTAATGAAAATGTTAAAATGTCACTGCAGTCGATTTTGCTGAATATGACCACCCTTTGTTTTGATCACTGCAGCGCATATTTTTGGTAATCTTTCGACGAGTTTCTGCAATGTTTGCGCAGGTATGTTCTTCCAGGACTCGTTAAGGCAATTCCACAGGGCAGGGAGGCTGCTTGGATGCAAATCAGTCAGACAAATGCACTACAGTTCTATTGGATTAAGATCGATTATTTGAAGTATTTTTTCATCTTGTTTTCGCTTCAAATAATTGGCACAGAGTAGGGAAGTGTGTTTAGGGTCATTATCTTGTTGAAAAATAAATTTTGGACCAATTAAATTGAAACCAGATGGAATGGCGTGGCGCTCAAGTATGCTATGATACTGTTCTTTCTTTAAAGTTCCATGTATTTTGACAAGCGATCCGACTCCATTGAATCCAAAACAACCCCAAGCCATCACTGAACCACCACCGTGGTTCACCTTTGTCGAAATACACTTAGAATTGAGTCTTTCATTACCCTTCCTACGTCGATGACTTCCGAAAAGTTCGAATTTTGACTCATCCGTTCATAAAACTGATTTCCATTGATTGATGGTCCAATTTAAGTGGGTTTTGGCAAATTGCAATCTCTTTGTTTATTTACTGCTCGCAGAAGTGGTTTTTTGAGTGGCCTGCACAATCGCCGGATCTTAATCCAATAGAGCTGTTGTGGGACGAGCTTAAATGCCGCGTGAAGGATTTGCATCCAACCAGCCTTGCTGCCTTGTGGAATTGCCTTAACGAGTCCTGGAAGAACATACCTGCACAAACATTGCAAAAACTCGTCGAAAGATTACCAAAAATATGCGCTGCAGCGATCAAAGCAAAGGGTGGTCATATTCATGAAAATCGACTGTGACATTTTAACATTTTCATTGCTAATTAGTCCGTCATTTCTCACAAATTGGTTACAAATCAGTCACTAAATATTAATACTACGTAGAATGTACAAAACTAACTTGAATAAAATTATTTTTATATGAAAAATATAGCTAAAAACTCAGAAAATGAGATTTTTTATGTGTCCGGAAACTTTTGGTCTGTACTGTATATATATATAAACTAATTATGCACTAGATACAATTGTTAAAGATAATTCTTGATTTAAGGGATTGTCAAATGATCAAGTTTTACGTTACGTGATTGATGGCGGTGTTATGGAAAGACCCGAAAATTGTCCAGACCAGTTATATGAGCTGATGCGCCTTACTTGGCAGCACAAACCATCAGCAAGACCATCTTTCTTTGAACTTGAGACTTTGTTGCATGCAGATGCCAATCCTGAGTTTAAGAAGATTTCATTTTACCATTCTCCTCAAGGTCAAGAAGCGCTGATAAATATGCAAAATACAAGTAAGAACTTTATACGTTATAGGTGTACTATATAATAACTATTGAATATTGTGGTAGATATGTATCATAAAATTCAGATAGAGTTGAATATTTCCATTAATCCATTGTATTACAAAATTTATTTTATTTCCAACATTTCAGTTGATTGTTATTATGAGTTATTTTACCCAGATTGGAATTGTATGTTTCATGTCGATATTTGCTCCCTCGCAATCATACAATTTGAGGGTGGAATATTTTCTATTTATTTTTTCCATTGAAATAAAATCATTTTAGTACAATCGAATTAAAATATCATTTAATTACAACTATTATATAGCTTATGATGCACTGCTTATCTACAATTTATTATTCACAATGGCATAATGCTCTGATTATCTTGTATACCATTTTAATGTACGCCGTGTTGCCAAGCTATTCTATCAGCAATACAGTATCCTTTACGCATCAGAACAGAAATGGTATTCACGTTATTATGTTTAAGAAATATCTTTTGCGAAAATTTGCAATCGAAAATCGGAGCGTTTTGAACGATTGTTAAATCTGACTTGTATAGCTAAAACATTCTAGTTTTCTATCTTAGTTTTTGTATGTTTAATGTTTACATATTTGCCTTATGACATTATTTTCTAAATATTTTTATATTGCAAATTCATTAATATTACTATTTATAAAATTAGTTTTAGTCAATGACGATCCATCCACGCCTTTGCATCACACCGAAGATGATGAATTTCAGTCCGAGTTTGATGTAAAGAAAACAGGCCAACAAATGCCAAAACCTGATCTAATGGAGAGACTTCTCTCGAGACATGAAATGGATACAACATTCAGCTTAGATCAAAAGGTAGGTTCATATCAGGACAGTATGAGTTACATAGGTTCTACACCAGGCACATCATATGGACATCGGGATAGGGAATTCTCTGAAGATGCTGGTAGTTTATTTGGGTCTCGAAGTCCTGCTTTCTATTCCATAACGAACAAAAGTAATGCAGTGTCTCCTGAGCGGCGGCGTAAAGATTCTGAGGAAGAAGAAACGCAATTCTCGACAACGGCCCCCATGTTGCTTTCAAATGCTAATGGATATATCATGGGAGCAATAACTTCTAAAAATGGTACTGCCAATATCAAAACTGCAGATCGTTAATTCTATTTTATTTAATTAAAAAATCTTTCATTTAAAAATAAATGAATTCAATAAGCATCAAAGTTTACATCACATATTTATATCGTTTTAGATTTCAACCTTAAACCATATACATATTTGACTTTAAAGCATACTACCTGCTCTGGGAGCTCGTTGTTTTAAAAATTTATGCATTCGGTGTACGCGCATATAATAATATTTATATATTTATGTTGTATATGTGTTATAATGTATCTGTTTGTATATATATATATATATATATATATATATATATATATATATATGAGTGAGTTCTTGAGGGCGATACATCAAACAAAGAAAAGCCAAATAAAGATTATTTTATAAATCTTTGGCTTTTCTTTGTTTGATGTATGGCCCTCAAGAACTCACTCATATATTTCAACATCAAAATTAACTACTAAATCATATATATATATATATATATATATATATATATATATATATATATATATATATATATATGCATATATGTATATATATATGCATATATGTATATATATGCATATATGTATATATATATGCATATATGTATATATATATATGCATATATGCATATATATATATATGCATATATGTATATATATATGCATATATGCATATATGTATATATATATATATATATATATATATATATATATATGCATATATGTATATATATGCATATATGTATATATATGCATATATGTATATATATATATATATATATATATATATATATATATATATATGTGTGTGTGTGTGTGTGTGTGTGTGTTTGTGTGTGTGTACATATTTATTCATTTATCATAGATGATTTTGTTTAGGCATAACGCCAATTAGAAAACTACATCATTTATTGGGTCTTTACGTTTCGGTTTATATCAAACCCATCATTGAGTGGAAAAAACAATAAAAGGTAATAAACACAGAATAACAAATTTTGATATGATATTTATAATAAGATCTTATAAAACTAGTATAACTTACAGTTAATACTTACATGTGATAATAGTATACATACTGAAACATTCTTGCAAAACTGATACTAAGCTCAAAACACAGTTCAAACAATAATTCCAATATTGATTAATGAGCGATTCAAGAGAAATAAAATAAAAATTAGTATAGTTGCATAATTATTAGTATGAAGATTTTTTAACAAATGTTTTTTGAAAGTGATGATTGAAATATTTTAGCCATATTTGAAAAATGCATTAATTTCACTGCTCAGGGAATTTCTGTAATTTTGTTTGTTTATTGTCGTTTTGTTTTGTGTTAGAATCTCTTCAGTAAAGTATCTTTTAAGTATTTGCATCGAAATATAATATTGTGGGGTTATAAAATCTTTCGTCATATTGTAGGTCATCAATTCGTTTGACCAGCATTGCTTGCTCTTCAACTATCATGCCATTCTTATATGTAGTTTAACTATTAGTTCAACATTTGAATTAATAATTGCTTAACTGTGTTATTAAATTAGTGATTGCATTATATGTACATGATAATAATAGTTTTATAAGCATTAATAATAACCTTATTATAAATATCAAATTAAAGTTTGTAATTCTCTGATTGTTACCTTTTAGTTTTTTTCGCACAATGAAGGTGTTGATATAGACCGAAACGTACGGAATGAATAAATTTATAATTTCAATTATCAACTTTTCTTGTACCTAGTTGAATTTCTGTAGCTAGAATGAATAAATTTATAATTTTAACTATCAACTTTTCTTGTACCTAATTTTTTAATTTCATGCTTGAATGAAATCATCTATATATATATATATATATATATATATGTATATATATATATATATATATATATATATATGTATATATATATATGTGTGTATATATATATATATATATATATATATATAGAATTATATTACTTCAACAACTGGCTGCAAATTAACATTTATGTATATGTCTCAACGTCAAACAAAAAAATCTAAATCTTATATATATATATATATATATATATATATATATATATATAATGTAGCCCATTAGCATAGCAATGCATATACTGAAAATATTTCGACCTAAAAGCAGAAAAGTTTTGGGGGCGGGTGGGTGTCAGTGGTAACACCTGTCATGTTTCATTCATATTTATTGATAGTGATATTTGTTCTGTATGACCATATGATGGAGTGTCAGTATTTTTATTTATTTTATACATAAATTAAAAATTATTAGTGTAGTGGCCAGCAATCATGAATGTATAAAAATGACCAAAATTATGCTATTTAGTATTTATTAATAAATGATGATTTGCCGTTTTATTTGAATGATTTATAAGTCACTTTAAAATGATTCTTCTATTTGTAACTTCTTCACCGGATCATAATAAGACCATTATTCTCTTCTTCGGAATTATTTAATTGTATTTTGAGATAAGAATTGTTACTTTAACTTTTAATTATGAAATTGAATTATTTATTTTTATTTCATTATAAAAATATTTTATATATTATCATACTATGATACGTAGCGTTTGAGTTGTGCGTAACATGTACATTATCTTTCAAATGTTTTTGGTGTTCTCATATCGATTTCAACAATATTTTGGTCAGTGCAAAAAAAAAGTTATAGACTGTCATGCGATGCCAATTAAAGATTAGTCCAATATTTATGATTATGACAAATAGTGAATTTGAAAATGGGCCTACATTTTTTATTTAGAAATTCAAAAATTATTCTATATTTGTTTATATTTTTTACTGTTTATTATAGTTTTTTTATTAATTCATTTGCCACAATTTAATGTACACAGTTTATCTATTTAATGCATCGCTCTTCATAGTAGAAATGTAAAAGTAAAAAATTTATATAACCAAATTAATATGCCTATCATATAAATAATACCAGACGTAGATGCGACCGCTTCTCCAGACTTCTTCGGTCAGAGTATTTTCCATTGATATATTACTATGCTAGTTGTTTTTAGATTGCATATACATGAAATAATCTGCCAGCGTTTACCAGATCCTTTGGATGGCGATTTATATATATATATATATATATATATATATATATATATATCACTTCACTCAATAAGTCCATAGGATAACTAAGAAAAATCCATTTTTTTTTGTCAAAATTCTTTTTTGTTATGCAACATGGCTTTCTTCGAAGACGATATACCGATTATAGCGAACTTCGAACTTTTTGAAACCATTTTTGTAATACGATTTGCACATTTCTTTCTTCACAGCGAACATTTTTTTGAGATCTGAGAACATGATATGGTTGCTGGGAAACAGATCTAGAGAATATAGTTTGTGACTTGGTGCGTTGTCCTGATGGAGAAGTACTGTTTTTCTTTTTCAAATGGAACCATTTTCCCAATTACGATCTTCCAATGATACAATAACGTTATTTAATAATTACTGTTGATGGTTTAGTTATTGTCGAGATTGTTGATTGGAATGATTCCTTGCAAATTCCATAAAACTGAAGCCATTACCTTGCTGATTGTTTGCATTTTTTCTCCTCATCGTGCCAAGTACATTCGGATGGTAACATATTAATGCAAAAACTCAATTTTATTTCGATTAAACAATTCCAAATACTCTTACGAATCATCAACTCGTTATGCTTTTGGTCAAATGTGAAGCGGTACCCATTTGTGTACAGGTGTTTTTCCTATTCAAATATTTGTGTACGATATGTCCAGCACGTTCTATTGATGTCTTTGGGGTGTCAGATATCTCAGCTATTTATACTTTTCGGTTTTCCAAAACGTTTCGGTAAACTTTTTTGATATTTTCTTCTTTTGATATTGGCCTTCCAGAGCGTTCAGCATCGTCAGTGTCTGTATGGCCACGATTAAAATTCTGCAAACTACTTCTTCACCAATTGCCTCGATTTGGCACAGTCCAGATAACACTTATCAAGCGATACTTTAGCAGCAATGATATTTTTACCCATCAAAAAGCAATGATAAATCAACCCACGAAATTGCTTTGAATTCATGTTTTCGAAAAACTTGAAAGTAGTAGTAGTCACTTGAACCTTTGTAACTTGTAAACTAATTATCGGATTGTCATGAAATTTTAACATATATCTTCTTAAAGTTGTTGCTTCCTACGGGTCATATGGATGATTACATACATAGCTTCATCATTTATGTGTTATCCTACGGAGTTATCGAGTCACGTAATATATATATGCATATATATGTGCATATATATGTATATATATAAAGGGGTAATAGTATTGACCGTAAATTGACCATTTTTCGTTTATGGTTAATTTGTGGTTAATTTTTATTACTTTTGTTTATTTAAACTTTGGAAGCGTAACCTTCATTTATAGGGCCACAGTCAGAAACACACATTTTCCTCGAGTTTTTGAGAATTAAGACTTTTTGTTCAACTATGAATTTAAAGTTTTTAAAATCGGTCGTTTTTGAGAGGTCCTTCTTTTGAAAAAATGTTCTAAAGTGTGTTGGCAAGTTTCATCAAAAGTTGGCGCATTTGATCAGGATTGTAAAATGGTAAAATACTCGAAAGTTTCATAATAAAAAATTTCGAGTAAAAAATAAAAACCAAAAAATGACATGATTTGATGTTTGTTATACGCGTAAGCTCCAGTATACGAGAGAGAAACATTTGAACTGAATATGAACGAAATGCGTTATAAGTTCATTTTTAGGTTTTTTTTTTCTTATTTTAGATTTTTTTATTCTGAAGCTGTCAAGTATTTTATTATTCTACTATCCTGATTGAATGCAACAACTTGTTAACACATTTTTTTGAAGAATGCTGCTCAAAGTCGATCAAGCTTGAAAAATTTAAGTTTATAGTTTTAATTCTTGAAGACATGGGATAGATGCGTCTTATTTTTTTATGTGGTCTAGGATGCTGTTTTTGGTTACGGTTGCAAAGCTTAAATGCAATAAAGATTAACCACAAATAACTGAAAAATGGTCACAGCTTCAGGAAAGCTTCAAGTCGCACTTTTGCACAAACATCGTATGATAAAATTTTTGTTCTAACAATTTCAGGACAGCTACTGTCAATACTATCACCCTGTTTCAGGTTGACGTTGAATTCTGCGACACTTTGATATATATATATATATATATATATATATATATATATATATATAATGTAGGTAAAATGTATG